GGCACCCGCGGTCCCTGCCGGCGCGGCCGGCGCAGGGGCCGCACCCGTGACCCGCGGGGGGGAAAGCGCCGCGCAGGGAAGTGGGCCTTGGGGAGACTCGGGACAGCGAGTGTCTCGCCACGATCGGCATGGTCGGGCCGGACGAAAGGGGGGGATTGGGAAAGGGGGGGTTACGAAAGTTGCTGCGTGCAGCTGGTTTCGGCCTCACCGAGTGGCCCACTCCTCGATGCATAGCCGCCTCCAGCGCCGGGAGGCGCCGGGAAGTTCAGCTACGTGAGCTGATTCTCCCCCCCCCCCTTTGCCTATCCCCCCCTTCGCCCGACCCGACATGGGTACGGAAAGACTGGGCACAAAGACCGACAGCAGGTCCTGTCCAGGTCGATCACGACTCGCTGGCGGTGCCGCCGCGGCCGGTGTCCACGTTTGGGACAGAAGGCCGCTTGCCCAACAGCGGCCGCTGTCGGTCTTGGACAACGCATGTTGTCGGGCATCGTGCCCATGCTTCCCGTGACCATTTCGGGTGTCCAAAAGTGGGGACATGCCCCGAGGGGAAGATCGCTCCCAAGGAAATATCGTCCCCAAGGACAGACCGCCCCCAGCGAAGAAAAAGGCCCTATCAGAGAGAAACATAGCCTCCAGGCAGTCCCATCGGCCATGGGGATGGGAGTTGAAAGTGCCCGGTTGCCCACAGAAGCGCAGGGTCTGAGGCTTGGGTAAGGAAGGAGGGGGGTCTTGGGGGTACTCCTTCTTGGGTTGCTCTGGGGCGTCATGGGGCCTCCACGGTTTTCTAGAGGCCGTCGAGTGGGCGACGGGGGCCTGACAAGGGGTCGTTGAGGAGGAGGGGAATGAGGAGGAGGAGGAGGAGGAGAATTAGGAGGAAGAGGAGGAGGAGGAGGAGGAGGAGGAGGAGGAGGAAGAGGAGGAAGAGGAGGAGGAGTGTGACTCTGGAGATGATACTGGGATGGCCGGCAGAGTCAGCCGGGGTCGGGGTGGGGGGTTGAGATCGCCCCGAGCCCAGGCCGAAACGGGCCTCCACGACGCCGAACTCGTGGGCAAACCCAGACCCCCGACGCCGTGATTTTCCATGACGTGCCCCCCAGAAGTCTGGACCCCTTCCATCGAAGAAGAAAAAGCGCCATAAACAGACACTTTTCGCGCTCCGCGCGGATTTCTTGGATCCGCGCTGGGCCCCTCCGGCGGCGCCTCCAGCGCCGCCCCTGGCGCGCTCCGCGCGCCAGGGAGGGGGGTCCAGCGCAGATCAAAAAAATCCGCGCGGAGCGCAAACAGTTGATGTTTATAGCGTTTTTTCTTCTATTCCAGGGGGCTGGTTTTTCATCCTGAGTCGCTTTCTGACGACCCCGAGGCCCGGGGAGGGCCCCCGGAGCCCGACGACAGCGAAGAACCTGGCGTCGTGTCTTTTTCCCAGCGCGAGGGGGTCTGGGAGGTTGGCCGGCCCGAGGTTTGCTCGCGGCGTCGGAGGTGCCCGGAGGAGGAGGGCCCAGCCAGCCATCGCTCGCGCCGAGGTCCCCGCGGCGATGTAGGCTCCCGCCCGGAGACCCGACGAGGCCTCCGGACGCCGCCCCAGCTCGGAGGTTGTTGCCAATCTGAAACAGCTCCCTATCCCTATGTTTGGCATCACCTCGCCTCGATGCCGATCTTAAGGATTCCCTCGGTTTCTGAGGGTCTATCCCTAAGATTGTCCTCGCTGTTTGCTCGCCCATCTTAGGGATAGGGATATAAGTTCGAGGCTGGTTAGGTTGATAGACCTCCTACCCTTCACACGTCGATTAGCGAATCGGCCGTTTTCGGTTCGCGAGAGGGCGTCGCGGCCGTCATCTTTGCCGGTCCAGGTCCGTCGGTTTCGGTCCTAGGCCGTTTTCACGAAAGGGAGGTTTACGAAAGGGAGGTCTGTCCACCGCTGACCAGAGGGGAAGACGAACATCCATAGCTTGGTTCGGTAGCAAATCATGTCAGCCACGCGCAGAGGGGGGTAGAGGTAGGGGGGAAGGCTCCTTAGATGCACCCCTGCTTCTTAGGAGGCGTCGGCCTTGTCTATAGATGCAAGGCCGGCGCCTTGTAAGAAGCAGCCTCCTTCTAAGAAACCTTCCCCCCTCCCCCTACCCCCTTTGCGCGCGCCGCCAATCATGGGAGCCTGGTATGCCCTCTGAACTCCGTCTTTAGCGTCGACCAGCGTCGCTTAGCGTCTGGGAGTCGATGAGATCGCGCCGCTTTGGCGTCGGCTAGCGTCGACTAGCGTCGATTCAGCGTCGACCAGCGTCGATTTAGCGCCGATCTCGCAAGGGCCGACAAGATGGCACCGGAGGCTCCCAGGAGTTGCCTCCGAACCAGGCTAAGGCTGCGTCGCTGGGACGTGTTCCTGCTTGTCTGTGTGTCCCTCGGAGGGAGGAGAAGCGATACCAACACCACCAGGGGGCCCACCTCCAGCGAGGAGGTCCACGATGCCCCCCCGAGCGAGAGGCTGGGGACGTCTCGAGCGAGAGGGGGGGGGGCCACGCCACCAGGCAGACCCCCCCTTGCCTCCGCGCAGCTCCTCGCCCTCTCGGGGTTGCTGCCGCCCTTCCCCTGCCCCCGTGCCCCTGGGCACCCTCCGAGGGGCGCTGCCTCGCGCTCTCGCGCCCTCGCGAGCAGGGCGGCCGAACGGGCGGGCGGGGGCGGCCGGCCAGCCGGCCGCGGACGGAGGAGGAGGAGGAGGAGGAGGAGGAGGAGGAGGAGGAGGAGGAGAGGAGGAGGAGGAGGAGGAGGCAGGAGGGGAGGAGGAAGGAGGAGGAGGAGGAGGAGGAGGAGGAGAGAGGAGGAGGAGAGGAGGCAGGAGGAGGGAGGAGGAGGGGAGAGGAGGGAGGAGGAGGAGGAGGAGGAGGCTCCGGCCCGGCGGGCGCAGCCCGCCGCGGCCGGCCGCGGAGGCGCCCCCGAGCCCGGCGGGCGCGCTGCCGAGCCCGGTGGGGGCGCTCTCGAAGCCCGGGCGGGGCCACGACTTCCGGGCGGACCTCAGCAGGCCCCGGCCGCCCGCGGCGGCTGAGGCCTCCCAGATGGTGTCCTCCTCCTCCCTCTCCTCCTCCTCCTCCTCCTCCTCCTCCTCCCTCCTCCTCCTCCTCCTCCTCCTCCACCTCCTCCAATCCTCTCATCCTCCCCCCCTCCTCCCTCCCCCTCCTCCTCCTCCTCCTCCCCTCCCTCCTCCTCATCCTCCCCTCCTCCCCTCCTCTCCTCCTCCTCCTCCTCCTCCTCCTCATCCTCTTCCTCCTCCTTCTGCTCCTCCTCCTCCTCCTCCTCCTCCCCCTCAGCAGAACACTACGTGGGATAGCCTGTTTCTGTTCCTGTTCCTGCTGCTGCTGCTGCTGCTGCTGCTGCTGCTCCTCCTCCTACCTCCTCCTCCTCCTCCCCTCCTCCTCCTCCTCCGAGGTCGGAGGATGGCGCCGCATCGGGGAGGCATCGGCGGTGCGGCTCGATGCGGAGGCCGATCTTCTCCACGCCGGCGTCGCCGATGTATTGCTGGTGCCGACGATGCGTCGCCAGTGCAGCACCGATGCGTCGCCGATGCATCGCCGATGCATCGGCGATGCGGTGCGATCCTCCAACCCCATCTACTCCGACCCCATCTAAGAGGTCTCTACCTCTGCAGGCCCTCCCTCGAATTCAGAGAAGGTCACGGCTTTTCTTGTTGTTTTTGCTCTTTGGTTTCAGATTTGATGGGCGCCTTTACACCGGGCCTCGGGGTCAACAGACAGCAAGGGACCGCCCGAAATCGACTCGGGATGAAGAGCTAGTCCCGTGGAAGGGGTATAGAACCCTGGGGTCGACGTGATGAACAGAAGTCATGACGCCCAGGGCTCGGGGTAGAGCTCCGGACGTGATTTCTCACGCTGGCGCCATTTTTTCCGCAGCGTCGGATCGTAGTGAGAATCGCCCCTGGAGGTTTGAGGATCGAGGCTCGAGGTTCGAGGATCGAGGTTCGAGGACCGAGGTCCGAGGCCGGCCACCGCCCTGGACGAGTCACGTGTCGGGTTTTAAAGAGGCAGGGGTCCATGGCAACGGCGGCCAGTCGGAGCGCCAGATCTGACAGAATCCTGCAGGGCTAAGGCGGCATTGGCCCTGGCTCGGGGCAGGATCCTGCAGGTTCTCGCGAAGCCTGACTGATCCGGGTCTGGATTGACCTGGGTCAGTAGATGCCCGACCGTGGTGAAGAAATACAGACGTCGGGGGTATGGGTCCTTCCTTCTACGCCCCGCGGTCCTGGCGTCTGGACGTCCTCGGGCCAGGCGTTTTTTCCAGCCTGGCTTGGCTTGCCGAGATAGGCCCACCAAAGCATGTTCTACGAGCCTTTGGTGGTTTGCGCGAAATGTTCTTAGCTCATTTCTGGCTGAGGCTGTTTTGGTTTCGTACATCGGCTTAGTGTTCTTAGACAGTCTTTCGCTCTACCCTGAGATACGGCGTTGCAAACAGATGCAATATCGCCAAACATCTCCGCCTGGCCAGCTTTCTGCGCCATTCTTGTAGCCAGATTGATCTGTGCTTGTCTTGGGGCCCGAAAATGAGCGAGAACACCCAGCTCGAACAACAATGAGGCACCAGGATCTCAGGGTAGGGAGTAGGAGGGCAGGAGGGGGAGGAGCAGTGGGAGGAGCAGGGGGAGGAGGAGGAGGAGGAGGAGGAGGAGGAGGAGGAGGAGGAGGAAAAAGGGGAGGATGAGGAGGAGGAGGAGGAGGAGGAGGAAGATGAGCAGCAGGAAGAGGAGCAGGAGCAGGAGCAGGAGGAAGAGGAGGAGGAGAAGCAGCAGGAGCAGGAGCAGAAGCAGGAGCAGGAGGAGGAGGGGGGAGGAGGAGGAAGAGGAGGAGGAGGAGGAGAAGGCGGAAGAGGAAGATGAGGAGGGGGAGGAGGAGGGGTTGGTTGGTTGGTTGGTGTCCCCCCGGCGGGGCGAGGAGGGGGAGGAGGAGGAGAGGGAGGGGGCGGAGCAGGAGGAGGAGGAGGGAGAGGAAGAGGAAGGC